TACTCTAGTTGCTGGTGGTCAGTTGTGTGTTTCCTGTCCCTGATTAGAATATATTTGTGCAGACCTCATTTTTGCAACCATTTCACTAAGACCAAAAGGGGGTTTGAGTTGTGGTTTGGATCCTGGTAGCCACACAGGAAATTACCAGCATTAATATTTTTATCTGTTACCCTGGTGACTGCCACGTGTGACAATCTGAAGATGAGCAAACCACCACCAGCAGCACCAGCAGCAGCAGCAGCTGCAGCAGCACGGTAAAATCATCCGCTTTGGCAGTTCAGCCTGCAACACGTGACTTATTAACACAATTTCAGATCATAAACACAAATAGTCAGAATGAGACAATCTATGGTTAGAATCTGCTTTAAATTAAAGGCCTGGCATTCTTTGAAGAAATGCATTTCACCTGCTGAGTTTGACCCATAGCRTTTTTGGTCAAATACAGTATGTCTTGTGCACTCTGTAGTGGTTGAACTGTGCGTTGTGACTGACAGTCGGTTGCTACCACACCTAATTTAAACTCAATGTCTCGCTGAGGTGTGGCCACTTTTGTCAAGGCTGAGCTCAAGTTGCTGTGTTTTTAATCGAACCGACTTTAAACTTTAATCAGTTGTAGACAAACAGTCAATAATTAYTTYCTGTGAGTTTCTGTGAAATATGTYCAGTGATTCCTGAGATATTTTGCTAACACAGATACAGTGTGCATGTTTGCAGTGTTGATCTGTGTGTCGCTCAGTGACAGCTGACAGATAAGTGAGCATTAACCAGAACCACAGGTGTTTTAGATATATYTGGAGGATCTTTATAACTGTAAGAAATCTGCATAATTCAAGCTCTGGGCTACTTATAAACTCATGCTACATTACAAAAAAAAAAAAAAGCAAGTTAGTGGATTACCAAGGTTGCGATGCCTGATGCAGGTCTTTAGGGCAGACAGGAAGTGATCTCGCTCCTCCTCTTGCTGAAACAGGAAGCAGGAGTGGCCTGTGTGGGGCAGGTGAAGATAGACGGCAAACTCATCTGATGATGATGGCACCACCGAGGAAGAATCCTCCTTCACTCCTGGAAGAAAAAACAAAACAACAACGACAAACAATGAGTTGAAGGACTGTTTTGTAGGAGAAAATAACAGATTTGTATCATTGTAAACCAAGTTTCTAAAAAATGGTGATCAAAGACACATAATTTTCAGTTATTTTGGATTTTCTAGGCAAAATATTGAAACCCTAACTTTAGCTGCATGTGATCAAGTTGATTGTGATTTGATTCATGAGCTCAGTGGCCACAGCTGAGAAAAAAAACGTGAGGTAAATCTAATGTTTATCTTGCATTTCCTGAACACTTCCTGTGCTCTACGTGGTCTTTTGAGTTCTTTTGTGAAATGAATTTTTAAAAACAACACCACCTCTCACTYGACTTTGTCCCCTTTTTGTAAGGTTATTATTTTTATACATTTATAGTCTGAATTAACATTTTTTTCTTCAACACRGCATGACATACACTTAGTCAAACCCAGAATTACACATTGTTTATCAGGACCAACTTGTGGCCTCTGTATGGTCAGACACTTTGTCCATCTCTTGCTTGTAACTTCCCTCTTAAAAAAAAAAAAGAGAAGTAGATTGTGATGGTTAAAATACCAAACGTGAAGCTTGAGAACATTTGGCTCATTCTTACAGGGACACTGTAGATTAGAGATCAGAGGTTGACTGATATGAGTTTGTCTACAGCCGACACTGATGCTGATTTTATTTTTTATTTATTCAGCCGATGGCCCATTTACAGATTTTTTTTTCACATTTTTGGCCAGCATGCATTTTTCATTTGATAAAATGTTTAAAAAACAACTTTTTTTCAACCCTTAAAAGAGATTTTAGATTTAAAATTATATAGAACTCTCTTCCTAAATAGTGTGTTATAGTGAGATGTTATAGCACCTGCTGACAGCATTTTGGTAATAGATTAAGTATGAAAAGGCATAGCTGGTCTTTTTTTCTCATTAAGCTTTCAATCAAGAAGATCTTTCATCATCACAGGGCATTCATACAGTTACTTTTTTTTTTTTTGACGTTTTGTCACGTTGTAAAACCAACCACTGAACACATCAACCATACTGATGTCAACCATCCTGACAATCCTGCTTAATTGTAGTCCTATTCAAAACCAGGGAAGCAATGTCCACATATAACTGCAGCAGTGAACAGAAGATGTGACATTAGGATGCTTCCACCTCTAAGCTATCATTTTCTTCATTGCAGTTAGAACTGACAACCAGATTCTAACATTTTCTCTGTTAGGCAATAGTTGTGAATCATCAATGCCCAACAGGTTCCAAAGTGAGAGAAACTCCAGTTACTTCAGTAAGACAAAAAAATAACTTGACCCCASAGATCCTGAACCTCGACACTCCTAAACAGCATGAATGAAAGATGGAGTCCCYGCAGAGCAAAACAAGTTATATTAATCTCATGCAGCACCTATTAGTGTCAAATATGTTCTATGACTAAATTTTACATGTATAAAGCAGTGAGCGCAAATTTTTTTCCTGATTGTCATTTAAGTGGAAAAATCCATTTATTTTTAGTCTACATCCTATAAAGTTTTGTATTTAAGCAACCAAACTGTGTCGCAGCACATATCTAGATAATCAGATTTTTTTGGGTTTGGGACACTTTGGGGTAATTGAGCAGTTTGTAAACAGCTGCATTCTTTATCTACCCAGGCATTCATAAATACCCAGTGAGTTTCTCAGCAGATGATTTGTGCTTTCGTAACACCTGCAAGCTGAATATGTTAAATACCATTAAGTATCGCAGCGCAGCTTTTCTCCATGTAATCTCTGGATTCTTCCTCGCTGGTGAAAACGAGTCCTTTGGCTGGCTGGAGAACCAACTTTGCTGCACCTCCACGGCTCAGACTCTGCAAACATCAGCAGCATCAAGGTCCAAATCATTCATTGGATGTTGTGATTTTTTTAAAATTGTTTTCATTTATCTGTGTTTTTACCTCCGTGCTGTCATAGATTTCAACTCTGAAGTCTCTTCTCAGGACGACGCATCTGTCTTTGCATTTCTTCCCCTGTTCTTCCCAGCAGGAAAACTTTACACTGCCTTGATACAACACCTCCTCTGGATCATACTTGGGCTTCACAAAAACAGAGAGGTTTCCCACATTTGTTGTGTTTTAGACAAGTTTAACGTATTAGACATTTCAGCTAAATTAGACTGAAAACCTGCATAAATTTGTACACTGGGTCAGATGAAGGTGTCTAAAGCTGAATATTTTTGGGGATTGGATCCATAGATAGATACCCTTTGTGTGAGCAGTAGGCCACGCCCCTCTTTTTTAGGCTCCACCTCCTGGTGGATGTGTCCCAGGTAGGAGACTGCATACTGCTGACGGTAAAACCCACTGAAGTCCTGAAAACTTTTCCCAACAAGTCCTGAAAATACAGAGTTATATTTATTACATTTGTTGTAAAAC